AGACACATCCCCAGCCCCTTTTATTTCTTATTTTGAGGCAGGGGCTCACTCAGTTTCTCAGGGGCTCACTAAGTTGCTGTGGCTGGCTTTGAATTTGCCATCCTCCTGCCTTCTCCTTCCTAGTCCCTGGGATTATAGGTGTACACCACCACCCAGTTCACTTCACGTCTTAGGTTTGGGTTTTGCGGTGTGTGTGTATTTAAGTTGTAGTTGGGCCTAGTACCTTTTTTTATTTGTTTGTTTATTTATTTATTATGTGGTGCTGAGGATCAAACCCAGCATTGCTAGGCGAGCACTCTACTGCTGAGCCCCAGCCCACATCTTAATTTTTAATAAAAGTTAGCTAGCTGTGGTGGTGCACACCTGTGCTCCCAGTGACTGGGGAGACTGAGATAGGAGGATTCCCAAAATAACAAAACAAAACAAAACAAAAAAACTTCAGAAAGTAAAGTATTGTAAAAAATTAAAAACAGAAAAATGTGTTTATTATTATTATTATTACTACTACTACTACTACTACTACTGCTACTATTATTTGGCAGGGTACCAGGGATTGAACTCAGAGGCATTCAAACACTGAGCCACATCCCCAGCCCTTTTTTGTATTTTATTTAGAGACAGGGTCTCACTGAGGGGCTTAGTGCCTCACCATCGCCGAGGCTGGCTTTAAACTCTCAATCCTCTTGCCTTAGCCTCTTGAGCTTCTGGGATTACAGGCGTGCGCTGCCGCAAAAAAATGTGTTTATAGACTAGCTCCAGAAAAATGTGCTTATAGAATCAAGATATTAAACAAAAAAGTAACTGGGCGCAGTGGCCCATGCATATCTGTAATCCTGGCTACTCAGGAGACTGAGGCAGGAGGATCAAAGTTGTGATCCTGGGATGCTCTACCCTGAGCCATATCCCCGATTCTTTTTATTTTTTATTTTGAGACAAGGTTTCCCTAAGTTGCTGAGGCTGGACTTAAACTTGCATCCTCCTCTCTCAGCCTTCCAAGTCACCGGGATTACAGGCCTGCACTGCTGTGCCTAGCAAGTTACAGCAGGGTGGGTAGTAGGTGCAATCCCAGCAACTCTAGTGACTGGGTGCAGCAGGAGCATCTGGAGTTCAAGGCCAGCCTGGGCAAGACAGCAAGGTTCCATCTAAATACCTTAAGGTGTACAAAGAAAGGAAGAGAAGGGTACTAAGGCTGATTTATTATTGAAGAAAAAGCCTCTGTGAGCTAGGTACGGTGGCCACACCTGTAATCCTAGAGGCTCGGGAGGTTGAGGCAGGAGGATCTCGTTCAAAGCCAGCCTCAGCAAAAACAAGGCCCTAAGCAACTCAATGAGACCCTGTCTCTAAATAAAATAAAATACAATATAGGACTAGGGGTGTGGCTCTGTGGTTGAGTGCCCCTGAGTTCAATCCCTGGTTCCCCCCGCCCGCTGCCACCACCCCCCAAAAAAAAGCCTGTGAGGATTGAATGTGGTCTGAGCGCAGTGTCTGGTCTTTGTGGTGGTGCTGTCCTGAGGCTCCCACGCCTCACCCGAGCTACTTCCAGTCCTGCACGCTATCTTCCAGTGTCCCAGACAGGACCAGCTCCTCTGCCTATGACACACGCCTCACCTGTGTTTTGCATGCTGCAGGGCATTGCCTTGCGTTGCCCACTGTCGAGCACAGCGCCTGGGTGACAGGAGCTGTCCGCGTGGCCCCAGCAAGTGGTGGGCTCTGCTGTGCAGGTCTGTGCAGGTGACTCCCCGGGTCCGTGGTGCTCAGGACCAGCCCTGCTGTTACACAAGGCTTTCAGCAGATTGTAGCGTTATTTTCATTTCCAAATGACCGATGATCTTTTCAAGTACCATGAACCATCTGTGTATCTTTTTAGAAGGGTTCAAATCTTGTTCCCATGTTTAAAAAAATAAATAAAAACTGGGGTTTTGCTGGGGACATAGTTCAGTGGCAGAAGTTATTTAGCCTGTGTGGCTCTGGGTTTGCTTTCCAGCACCGCGAAATAAAACAGACAAAAGCCCTGCGAACCCAGACTTGCTGTGGTGGCAGCCGAGTTGAGCAGAGTCCTTCATGTCCCGCCCAGTCGTGCCTCGGACTGCTGCCTCCGTGCACTTCCTGCCCGTGTTGCAGTGGGGATCCAGGTCTGCTGCCTTTCCACATGCTTTTTAGATCAGTTAATCAATTTCTACACGATGTCTGCTGGGATTAGGGCTGGGTTATGTCCACTCTGTAGACCTGCATTAACAGTAGCAAGGCCTCCTGTTTAGAGATGCCATCGATTGTACCCAGGGGTCGCTGCTGTTAAGCCACACTCTCAGCCTTTTTTTTTTTTTTTTTTAAGTTTTTATTTTGAGGCAGAGTCTCACTAAGTTGCCCAGACTAACCTGAATTTGGATCCTTCTCCTCAGCCTCCTGAGTTGCTGGAATTGCAGTGTGCGCCGTTGTGCCTGACTAGCTTGTACGTCTTTTGCTAATCGTAAATAATTCGTGACTTTGGGTGCTGCTGTAAATGACATATCTAATAAACTTCTAATTGGTTGCTGCTCTCAAAGCTCAACTGTGTGTGGTGAAAGTTAGACTCTTCTCCCTTGTCTCTGCCTGGCTCCCTTGTCAGTCCCAGCTGCTCTGCACATAGCCACAATTTGTGTCTTACTTCCTGGGCTTTATGCTTTTTATTTCTTACTGCAGCATTTAGGAATTCTAGAACAGTGCTGGACAGAAGTGGGAAGAGCAGCATCCTGGCTGTGTCTGCTCCTCCTCAGCTCTGACCAGCTGGTGCTAAAGCAGGAGTCCCACCACCTGCTGCTCACAAGGATTGATCTCCAGAGTGGCTCACAGAATTCAAGGAAACATCTGCTTCTGCTTCATCTGCCTTACTACGAAGGATACATTAAAGGATACAGGCTGTGCAAACGGCCTGGTGGGGCATGCATGGGGCGGTCGGGGGTCCTGGCACAGGTGTGTCCCTGCTAGTGAGCTGAAGAATGTGCATCCTGTCGCCTTCAGAGCTCCTGGTGCCCTGGGGGTTTGTGGCCTGTACTCATGGCTGTCTTGTTTCTGTGGAGTGCTTGTGGCACAGTCTGATTGATGGGTTACGTTACGCCACAGCCGCTGGTCATTGGCTGACCTGAGTTCCTTTCCACCCACCTACCTGTCCTGCCGTTCTCTAGGGCTTTGCAAAGCTCAGCTTGTTAATGTGAGTCCAGGTGAGCTTGAAGGACTAGTATGTAACCTGCCGGAGCACTTAGGAACCAAGGGCAGAGTCAGCCTCATGCCCTATTGGGTGTGGCTCAGTGGTGGAACACTAGCCTAACATGAAAGCCCTGGGTTCAACCCGCAGCACGTAAAAAAAGAAATACTTTGTAACCCTGTGATTTATTCTTTGAATTCCATGTTATTTTGTAGTGTGTTGTTTAACAGCAACTATTTCAGGTTTTCTTTGCTCTCTTACTCTTGGGTTTCTAGTTTAATTTGTTAAGAGTCACGCTGTGTGTGACTGATTGAGACTTGTTTCAAGGCCCAGTGTGGAGTATCTCTAGGTGCATGAGTAGTGTGCATGGAAGAAGCATGCTGGGTGCTCCACAGACCTCAGGTTGTGACAGCTAATGGAACCGTCTAGTGTCACTCCTGATTTGACAAATCTGTCACCTGGGCATGGTGCGCACACCTGTAATCAATCCCAGGAACTGGGGCGGCTGAGGCAGGAGAATAGCAACTTCAAAGCCAGCCTCAGTAGCTTAGTGAGACCCTGTCTGAAAATCTAAAAAGGGGGGCAGGCTGGGGATATAGCTCAGTTGGTAGAGTGTTTGCCTTGCATGCACAAGGCCCTGGGTTCAATCCCTAGTATCACAAAAAAAAATTTTTTTAAAGTAGGGGCTGGGATATAGTGTAGCTCAGTAGTAGCGTTCAATCCCCAGTACTACAAAAACAAATGGATAAAAAATAAAAATAACTGTCAGTTTCTGAGAGGGGTGTTAAAATCCTAATGGTCTCGCATTTTATGCACTCTGACCATCCTGCTGTGTTAGGCTTTTTTTTTTTGGGGGGGGGGTACTGGGGATTGAAACCAGGGATACTCGACCACTGAGCCACATCCCTAGCCCTATTTTGTATTTTATGTAGAGACAGGGTCTCACTGAGTTGCTTAGGGCTTCACTTTTGCTAAAGCTGGCTTTGAACTTATGATACTCCCGCCTCAGCCTCCCAAGCCGCTGTGTTAGGCTTTTAGTCCACTGACACTGAATCTCATTTTTGGTATGTTTAGGTTGATATTGCTTTTCTGTTTGTTTCCTAGGTGCATCTGTGTTATATGAATATTTTTAAGAATTTTATGTTTCTTGAGGCTGGGGTTATAGTTCAGTTGGTAGGAGCTTGTCTTGCAAGCACAAGGCCCTGGGTTTAATCCCCATCACCCCCCCCCAAAAAAAAAAGATAAATAAATAAAATGAAAGAAGAAGAAGAAGAAGAATTTTATGTTTCTTAGCTGGGCATAGTAGTGTACACCTGTAATCCTGGCTGCTTGGGAGGCTGAGGCAAGAAGATCTTGAGTTCAAAGCCAGCCTCAGCAAAAGCAAGGCCCTAAGCAACTCAGTGAGACCCTGTCTCTAAATAAAATACGAAATAGGGCTGGAGGTGTGGCTCAGTGGTTGAGTGCCCGACCCTCCATGCCCCATCCCTCAAAAAAGAATTTTATGTTTCTTTAAACTTTCTACCTCGGGGCCCTGACCATGGCTGGCCTGGAACTCCTGTCTCAGCCTCCCGAGGAGTGGGGTCACCAGCGTGCACCACCACGCTGGCCCTTCTGTGGGTTTTTACGTAGCTGGGGGACTATAGTGACAGCGTGACTCTTCTCCCCTTGCTGAGGCAGCAGTGTCGTGGCACCACAGGAAGGCGGTGGGATGCTCCTTCATGTCCACAGGGCTGGGAGCCTGGCTGTAGAGTGTCCAGGTGGCTTTGCTTTGGTCTTATGAAGTTCCTCAGTGCACCCTTGCTGTTCCTTCCTCTCATAGAGTGACCTAACATGGCAGACCAGAGGCAGCGCTCACTCTCTACCTCCGGAGAGTCACTCTACCATGTTCTTGGGCTGGACAAGAATGCGACCTCAGATGACATTAAAAAGTCCTATCGGTAAGAGGCTGCACGCAGGCCCTGCACCTCCCCTGGACAGGCCCCTTCACGTACTGTCACCGTGCTCTTCTAGGAGCTGGCACAGCCTTTCCCCTGGAGGACTCAGTAGTGGCTGGTGGTGCTGCTGCTGCCTCTCTGCAGGTGTAACGTGCTCCTCGCAGCTCAATGCGTCATACTGGTGTTCCCTTAGCTGAAAAAGCAGCACTTTGTGGATGCTACAGCTGCACACAGTTCTGGAGCGGGTGGGGTGCAGCGAGGGTGGCACCCCTGTTTTCTGCCTTGGCCTTCTGGCTGTTCCAGGCACTTGGCTTGGCTGCCGTGGCAGGCGGCAACCTAGACCAGAGAGGCCTCATCACTGACCCCTGCCTCGGTGGCTGCATCTATGCTCCCAGCACTCTGCTGTTGGTTAGACACCACTCCCTTCCTGTCAGATTGGCATGTGCAGTGGCCCAGCAAGGACACCAGGGGGCAGGAGGGTACCATTGGTGATTCTGAAAGTGGGGAGAGGAGTGGGGCTGGTCCTGCTGCCCTGGCTACCTCTAGACCCCTCCCTGTGGGGAGCCAGTGCGGGGGGGGGCTTCCCCCTGGCATGCCAGACCTCTGGGAAGTTGGGAAGGCAGGTGGTGATGGGTGGGCCTTCCTTCCCCTGGGCCCTCCAGTGGCTCAATGCACAGTGCCAGTCCAGGAGAGAGCCAGCAAACGGTTCTGTTGCAGGAAGCTTGCCCTGAAGTACCACCCTGATAAGAACCCTGACAACCCGGAGGCTGCAGATAAGTTCAAGGAGATCAACAACGCACATGCCATCCTGACGGATGCCACGAAAAGGAACATCTATGACAAGTACGGCTCCCTGGGGCTCTACGTGGCGGAGCAGTTCGGGGAGGAGAACGTCAACACCTACTTCGTGCTCTCCAGCTGGTGGGCCAAGGTGAGGGGCAGGGCGGGGCCAGCACTGGCTGCATGCACGGTCCCTAAGTTCCTGAGAGGACCAGGTAGGAAGTGAGCCTTCCCTTCACAGTCGTCAGGGAGGGCATCTTGAAATCTAGTTTGAAGGACCCCTGACTTAGATCGCTGGTTGTGTTTTTATTAACTTTCTTGCTTTCCTGACTTGCCACATCACACAAGGCCAAGGGATATGGCCCTTGGCTGTGGGAAGCCCTCCCTGGCTTTCCCAGCCCTCCCGTAATCACCCCCTCTAGGCAGCTGTCTGCTCTTCCCTCCTGCCTTCCCCTTCCCAGCAGGTTCTTCCTTCATCCCCATCTGAGAGATCCTTCCTTAGCTGGAGGCCCACCTCTGCAGCCCGTGCTTGGGAGCCCTTGCAGAGGCCTGGGGCCTACAGAGGCCATGGGTGCCTGCCTTTCCTCCCCAGGCCCTCTTCGTTTTCTGCGGCCTCCTCACCTGCTGCTACTGCTGCTGCTGTCTGTGCTGCTGCTTCAACTGCTGCTGTGGCAAGTGCAAGCCCAAGGCCCCCGAGGGGGAGGAGACGGCCTTCTACGTGTCCCCAGAGGACCTGGAGGCACAGCTGCAGTCTGATGAGAGGGGTGAGTGCCTGCCCCCGGGTGCGTGTTCCTGGGGCGCCGTCACGTGGCCCTGAACGTGTCAACTGTCTTGTCAAACAGGAGGGCACTGACACTGTGCCGCGAGTGTTTGTGGTGGCAGCTGGGACTGTTGAGGTGTGAACGTGGACACTGAGGTAAAGCAGGGGCAGAGAGCTGTCCCCGCCCGTGCACTGCGGTAGCCGTAGATCCAAGGGGCAGGAGGTGGGCGGCAGGCAGGCGGGAGGATGAAGGGTGGTGGTCAGCCAGCAGCCTCTCCTGAGTGCCGTCCAGGTGGCCGAGTGTTGTGACGCCAGGACCCTGTGCTGTGCACACGCTGGCTACTACCCTTGTGCAGTGAGCATGTCTGCTTGCTTTTCAGAGGCCACAGACACGCCAATCGTCATACAGCCCGCCTCCGCCACAGAGACCACCCAGCTCACGGCCGACTCCCACCCTAGCTACCACACTGACGGGTTCAACTAGGTTCAGGAGGAGCTGAGATTCGAGGAGGGATCAGCACCCGGCCACCGCAACCTTAGATCCATGAACTAGTCACCAGATGGGGAGGCGCCGCGTCGGGGCCTCCCCTCCTCCACGCCCGCTGCCCGTCGACCCTCGATACCCGAAGTGCGTAGCATGCAGTATTTAAAGCAGTGTAGCTACGGTCTTCTGCTCTCCTTTTCTAGTAGCATGTATGGTCGTGTTCAGTGTCTGTGTTGTGGACCTGCTGTGGCTCGGCCGCGCTCGCTGGACAGTGGAGCTGCCTCGGGGTGTTTAGCCAGGTCGGTCCAGTGAGGGTGGACTGGGCAGGAAGGGCCTCAGTGCTCCTGTGCTCACGGGGCTGGGGTCAGATTCTTCCCGGCAAAGCCACATCTCCACCTTGGCCGTGGGGTCCCAGGGCAGGGCCTGGCTCATCTGGCCCATCAAGGACAAGCGGGGCCAGGTCCTCTGGAACCACAGGGCCATGGTTGTCCCTGGGTGTTACGTTGGCATGGCGTGCAAGGGCCTCTGCACCCTGTCGTCTCCTTGTGGCAGGTCTCTCCAGGTGGTAGGTGTGATGTGGACAGTGTGTGCACATGCGTGCACTCTGCACGGTTGTCTGCCCCGGGCCTCTTTGCTTCAGGGCCTGAGGTTCCTGTCCATCGAGGGGTGCCCCTCCCGGTGCGTGGAGGTCCTCCGTCTTTGTTCCTGAACCTTCCCAGGCTGAGCTGGACTGATGGGGCCGTAGTCTCTCTCCCCTTCCCTGGGTTGTTCTCCACACTCCTTAAGCCCACCTGTTTTTTGTTTTTTTTTTTTTTTTTGTTTGTTTGTTTGTTTGATTTGTTTTGTTTTTAAGCCCTTTTTGGACTTTTAAGAATCACAAGTGGTTGCAGTCAGAGGGTGTGAATCCAAGTGGGTGGATGAAGGACTCCAGTGAGCCCCCAGCCTCTGGACCCTCCTCCTAGTGCTGGCCAGAGCTCCATCCACCCACTTGCCTTCACTTGCGCCTGTCGCCCGTGCTCTAGTCGGCACTAGAACATAGGGTTCCTGGAGCAAGATGGCTGGAGCCAAGATGCCCCTGGCCTCAGGAGGGCTGGGTCCCAGCGAGACTGTGGGACACCCTGCTTGCCAGCCAGCCTGGGAGGCCAGTGCTGGATGAGACTCTGTGAACCGCAGATCTGTGGGTGGCGCCTTGGTGGGTGAGCTGGGGAAATGTGAGCACCACATGTCAAGGCTTTGGAGCCACCTTGTGCCCCCTACAATTTCCTGAACGTGCCGGACCAGAGTCCAGTGGGCCGAGTTCCTGCAGAACTTTCCCGAAGCCTGCTGCCGAGCATCTTCTGAATTTCTAGTAGAGATGAAGAATGAGAAAACTCCTATGCTGACCGCGTGGCCCTGACAAACCACCTTGAGTCCCTTCACCCCCATCCCCACTCCCTCCCACCGTGGGCTCCTATTTGCCAGTGACTGCCAAGGGCAGGGCTTTGGGATTTTGGTGTTGGTTGAGGGTACCCAGCAAGGTCCAGTGAGGCTGCTGTGACGCCAGGGCCCCCAGCTGATCCTGTTGCAGGTGGACGTGGGCAACGAACTGCCCAGGAACCAGTCCCTGGGGTGTGTTTGTCCGTGTTGCTCATTGAACGATCATGAAGATACTGAGCAAGAGGGCTCCATGCTAGCTAGGGTGCTGTGTCAGGGCCGTCCCCCTGTGGAGGGTGGGAACCACCAGTGGGCCCACAGACTGCTCAGCAGGCAGCCCAAGGGCTAGTCCCAGCACAACAGCAAGAGCTCAGCCCCTGAAGCTTTCTTGCGATAATTCGAGAGTGAGTTGCTTTCTCAGAACAGCCAGGACCCAGGGCCATAGTCTGGTGACCTGCTGAGCATCTTCTGAATTTCTAGTAGAGATGAAGAATGAGAAAACTCCTATGCTGTGGGACAGCCCTCCTGGCATGCAGCCCTGTGGTTTTTGTCTCGTGTCCCTGTGAGCTGTGGCCACTTCTTAGGAGAAAGGATCTCCCTGGGTGGCAGCTGGGGTGGGAATAGCCACTTAGCCCAGTGTCCTGTGGGGGTCTCTGAAACTGAGTGAATCATGTAGGATTTGTAACACCACGAACAGGACACAGGCTCTGGAGTGAGGGCCGTGGCTCTGCAGCCATGGCCAGAGCATGTCCCTCACCTGCTCGAGGCAGACAGTGCCTCATCGTGCACGGCGATGGTCTGTGGCTGCCCTGGTTCTGTTTCCTTTTTAATGAGCACAGCTGGTGAGTCTTGGGGGTCAGCCTGACCCCCATGTCCCCAGCTCCTGGGCTACACTTCTGGGCTGTCGACAGTGTGTGATGTATTGCCTGGGGAGTGCTAAGGTCAGTGTGCTTGGAAACCCATCCAGAGCAGTGGTGCCCCGCAGGGTCCTGGCCACCTATGGTAGCTCTGGGGTGTGTAGATCCCTGTTCCTGCCCAGGGCTGTGGTCTTTCCTTGTCTTCCTTTGGCTTCATTCTATTTTAAGCTGCTTTAGATATTGTTGCCCCATGTCAATGAGCCTTCCTAGTTCTCTGGTGTTCAGTTAATGCAGCCAGTGTCCAGTGGGAACCTGTCAGAAAGAGAAGCCAGAGTTCCCGCGGTCTCTTTGCTACTTGCTGGACTGGGCTGCAGCTCCAGTCTGGAAAGGTCCTGAATCATGAAGCAGTCAAGACTCGTCTCAGCTGTCCTAACCCAGGTTTTAGCAGCACAGGGGAGCTGATGGCCCTGCAGGCTTCCCTCAAGGGTCCAGGTAATGTGGGCAGAGGCAAGGTGGGTCCTGCCCATCCTTGACTTCAATCTATCTGTGTGGTGCCTCGCTGGTGAGAATCATGGAAGGCGCTGGTGCCACCCCTTTCCCAGTGCTGAGCTGGTGCCCTGTAGCCCAGGACTGGCCTGTTTGTTATTTGGGTTCTGAATGCCCTGCTGTGGACAGGTGCAGCTTGTGTTGCCAGGTGCTGTGGTGCAGGCTGTGTGTCTGTGTACATGTGTGTATGTATGGACCACGCAGCAGGCCCCGCGTGCTGCTGTCCAGGGGTGAAGCAACAAGTACAAGAAAGTTGGCTCCAAAGTGGCCTCTGTTTTCTTGGTGAGTTGGGTAGGGACAGGGTCTCGGCACGGTCCTCCTGGCGGATACACCCAAGGGAACAGCCTCCTATGTGCAGGATGCGTGTGCCTGAACACAAGGTCAAGACCCCACCAGCGTCAAGCGTCACAAGGGTGACTGTCCTAAGCACATGTCATGTTCACCTGGCCCACAGGTGTGGGAAGTGTAGGAGGTGGCTGGAAACTCTCCCCTCCCTGGGCGCCTGAGTCAGTCAGTGACAAGGTTGCATCTAAAGAGCAGCCTGGGCACCTGCCTGCAGGAGGGCTGGGCCAAGGGCCCCCCAGGTGGTGCCTGTGGCGGACTGGTTCTCCTGCAAGGCGGGGCGGCCTGGGAAGCTGGGTGAGGGAGGGGGAATACACACTGACACGCACACCACAGGTGCTGCTTCTGAGAATCAGATGCGAGTGTGGAGAGCAGCAGTCCACGAGCTGGTTCCACCCAGCTGCCAGGATGGCCTGCTGACCTGGCTCCACGCACATCTCCAGGGCTGGAGAGCGAGTGGTCTCCATGGTGATCTCTGTCTTGTGTGTGTCTGAATGTTGACCTAAAGTAAAGATAACTTGTAAAATAAATGTTTTCACTGCAGAAAGTGTGTTTTTTGTTTAATGATCCCTGCAGAGTCTCGTTTTTTGTTTTTGTGTTTTGGGAGGCAGGTTTGTTTTATTTGTGACAAACACTTCCCACCTGGTCCAAGTGCACACCCACCTTCCCAGGGTCCTTTTCACTTCATTTTAAATACCCAGACGAATCACACGAGGGACCTCTGAGCTCCCGAGGGCCACCAGCCCAGGATAGCTTGGACCTCAGTCTTGGAGGCCTCCGGTGGCATGTCGACCTCCAGTGGTTGTACCAGAGTAGGTGACCCCTTGCCAGGGAAGTCCTGTGTTCTTCATGGCCACACCAGGCCTACAGCCAACACTAGTCCTGTTCCTACCATCCACCTGTCTGACCGTCAAGCTCCTACCTGCCTTTCCTGTTGTCTTCCACAGATGGAGATTCCTGCTGCCTGGTAGAGACCATTTTGGCTGGCCTCAGTTCTAGGATGAGCAGGTTCAGGGGTCTGGAGCAGCATATGTGGGTGCCCTCATGAACCAGCTCCTGACTTGGCAATCCTAAGCATAAGGAATTGGGGGAGAACAGAGGACAACTGGGTAGCTCAGCTCTACAGTAGGGCCAGCCCTCCTATTCCCTGGAGCAGTGACCACAAAAGCTGAGCTGGTCACTCCATCTCTGCCCACCTCTGTCCTGGCCATTTGGATTTCCCAGGGCTGAGCTGTGGTGACTCCTGTTCCTGCTATGCAGTGTCTGAGCTGGTGGTGCCCCGGCCTTGCACCCCAGCATCTTTGGTGGTAGTCCCCATCCTCCCTGTGGTCTCTCACCCAGCCCTCAAATGCCATGGTCCCTGGGGTGCTGTGAGAAACACTTCATCCCACTGCCCTGATGGCAGGGAAGTAGCAGGAAGCCCTCTTGAACACAGAGCGGCCTGTAGCCTGGCGTGGCTAGCCTGAGCTCTTATGCCTCTGTCCCCCACCCCCAGAATGAGTCCAGTTTGGGGAACCTGTTGGAAGTGCCAAGTCTGCCCAAGAGCATATGTCCCTAGAGAATGGTTCTGTACACAAGGGCCTGGAGCAGAGCACCTGCTGGGACCAATCTTAGGCTCAGGCCCAAGGACCCTAGTGCTTAGGCTAGAGAAGTGGCCCTGGCCCAGGTGGCCCACAGGTCTGCCTTTCAGAACTGCAGGTAGAATTGCCCTGTGGCTCACATCCCTTCTGCAGGGTACAGCCTTGGCCAAACTCCCCTCCTGCCGCCTCCAGCGGGCGCCCAGCTACAGGCCAAGGCAGAAAACTCTTGGAACTGAAAAACAGTTTATTTGAAGCCAACTAAAAACTTTTGGAGGGAAAAAGGTGCAAGAATAGTAACAGTAACGAAACACCCTGAACCCGCCACTCATACCTAGAATTAAGTAATTTGATTAGGATTTTCCATAAGGAGGAAAAAAAAATGGAGCTGGGCGAGGCCTTGGGTACACCCGCAGCACAGCGACAGCAGCAAAAGCGACCGCGCAGAAGGCCTCCGCAGACATCGCCGAGCCCTTCGCGTGCCCGCCTAGGCCGCCCCGACCTCTGAGGAGCTGGCGCCGAGTCCGGCGGCGGGCAGGGGGCGTGGCGGGCGGGGCTCCACCACCGCAGCCCGTGCGCGGATGGGCCGCGCGCCCCGGACCCAGTTGCGCGGGGATGGCGCGGACAGAATCCCGGGCAGGACCTGGGAGGACGCGGACTGCCCGGCTGGCCAGAGGGGCGCGCGGGGAGATTCGCCAGAACCGTCCCGCGGTCACCCCAGGTGCAATCGGGGCCGGCGGCGCGCTCGGGCGGTGGCCCCCCGGTTACAGCTGCGTGCTGCGGAGGCGCTCTCAGGCGGTGGCTCGGGGCACCACCAAGTTCCAAGCCGGAGGGTGCAGGTTCCTACGAACGCGAGTCGGAGTTCCGCGCTCCGCGCTCAGTAGGCGGGGTCCCCTGCTGTGGGAATACGTGAAGGTCCGAGTCTGTGCCAGCCTCGCCCTCGAGCCCGGACGGGCCTTGGCCCCAGATGGAAGCCGGTTGGTGACCAGAGGTGAAGAGGCGCCAAGGTACCCGATCCGGGAGCTTGGTCCACCAGTCGCCCCCGCGGATGTCACCGTCGTAGTCACCATTGCTTCGCCAACCCGCCCCTCCCTGGACCCCCGCTCTATATCAGAACCCACATGCGAGCTGCCCGTTCCTGTCCTAACTCTGGCACAGCTAACCCAAAGCCATCTGCTCCGTAGGTCTCCGTCCTGCCGCCGCCTCCCCACACCAGCTTCCCTCGCTCCAAAACCTCCAGCCTGACCTTAGGAAGCTTCAGAATACCATGGCCTCCAGGGCCCTCTCCGCTGCTTCCTGCCGCGGCCCCCCAACCCTCAGGTGCTCCACCCAAGATGCCCTTTCCCCAGGCTTCTTTGCCAGTCCTTCCTGACTCCAGGTGGCCCAACGCTGGTTCCCCATGTAGGGCACCATCCTCCGTCTGCTGCTCACGCATGCCTTCTTTTGGGACTGGGCCTCAAGTGCCCCAGGCTTCCCATCCCACCCAGCCAGCTACCTAAAAGGCCCTGCTTAGCATCTGCATGACCATTTTAAATTTCGTTTTCCGCCTAAGGGCGTTTCTGAGAAAGCCTCACCACTCCCTCATACCGACCCGACCATTTTCACGCCCCCGCCACCGCATTAAGACCCTAGTGGCTCTGATTCCTGAGCCTCCCCATGAAAGTCCCAGAGCTCAAGCCTGTTTTGCCTCTCTTCTATAGAGAGATGGCCTTTATTTGTCAGCTGTGACAAAGTCTCCTGTGTATCTCTTCCTGGTCTGCATCTTTCATTTCTCGTTTACCTGTCTCTCGTACCCATCATCACCCTGTGATAGTCAGCCGCTGCTGGGAAGGGGCAGCACCTCACGGGCTGACGAACCTGAGATTGACCCTGGACACTCACCATTCTCAGGTTGGACAGTCCTGGAGGCATTGCCCAGGGCAGCAGGCAGAACCAGGACAAGCGAGCTTCTCCTCTGAGACCCTCACCCTGAGTACTCCACAGGAACCTCTGGTGTGCATACAGGGTCCTCCTCCACCCCACTAGGTTCTGAAGCTGCTTTAGGCCTAGCAGACTATTGCTGGTTTGTTTGTTTGTTTAATTTTTAAAAAATTTTTTTGGTACTGCGGATTAAACCCAAAGGTGTTTTACCACCGAGCTCCACCCCCAGCCCATTTTACTTTTTATTTTGAGATAGGGTCATTCTAAGTTGCTCAAGCTGGACCTCAACTTGCCATCCTCCTGCCTCAGCCTCCAGAGTTGCTGGGTTACAGCTGTGTGCTGCCGTGCCTCACCATGCCTGGCAGGACTCTTGCTCTTGATTTCCCCTTCCTCCAGGGTGCATGCCACTCACCCCTCACAGTCTGCACTGGGCCTGAGGGTAGGATCAGGCCCATGTGGCTCCCAGCCCCAAATCAGACCCCTGGGGGCTGCCTGCAGAGTTCAGCTGGAGTCCCTGTGCCCACAGCAGCTCTGTGGTGCTTGTCCCCCTGAAGGAATTGGAACTCGAAGCTGGATCTTGGCCCTCTTTAGAGGGCCCTTAAGGCTCCCAGGGGTCAGAAAAGGTGCCTCTCCCTCACTGGCATTCCGAAGACCTTGGGCTATTTGGAGGGTGGTCCACTTCCAACACCCCCTGGGGCCCTGGTTGGAATAGGTTCAAGATCTCCCCAATCTGTGGCCCAGCCTCAGGAGACACCAACTCCCACCAAAAGGAGAGACCAGAGCCTGGGTCTTCCAGCAGCACCAGTCTTCTTGTGGGTGGGAAGAGCTAGGCAGGGCCTTGGGGTTCAGGCTCCTGCCTCCAGGATATTTTCCTAGGCCCCCCACTAAAGGGGAACACAACTGCCTTTGCTTTGAGGATGGCCTTACTAGACTGTGGGCAGCTGGGCCTGTTCTTTCAGCCTGAAGTTTCATCTCCCACACTGCAAGTTGTCCATCTGTGGTGCGTGCTGCCATCTAAGTACCTCTAGTGTTGGCACCTGCAGGCACAGCTATGGCTGTGATCTGAGAACCAAGTGGCCTGACTGGACTTGGGGGGGGGGTGCCCTCGGGAGAGAACTGGCCCCTGCCCATCTCCTCATCTGGGAAGATCTGGCTAGGAGGAATGGCGCCTGCAGCCTCTGGGCTCCTGGGGCACGTGGTGTGCAGCAGGCTCCCAGCCCAGAGTCTCAGAATGAAGGAGCCCGTGAATGGGGCCCTGGACACATGGGACAAAGCACTCACCAGGGTGTAGAGAAGGCCCTCTCGCTGACCTCTGGGCTTTGATTTGGTCCTCTGTCCCCAATGCCTGGCTACCCCTTGGACAAGCCACCAGCCTTTATCTGCCCGCTACCGTGGGCCTGGCCTCCGCCCAGCAACTTCCTGTCCCCGCCCCAAGACAAGCTTTTCCATGACATGGCCTTTGGGGGTGGGGGGGGGCAACAGACCAGAGAGACAGGAAAGAGGCAGGAGCCAGATCTTCAGGGACTGAGGAGCTTAGGGGTGTGTGTCTCACGGTCCCAGCCCACCTGCTGCTCAGATCACAGCCACACATGCACTGGGTGTCCATGTGCCTATGACTATGTCCCCTGGCCCAGGCAGGATAGGCATAGAGAGGATGCTGGAAGTGACCGTGAGGCTGACCCTCACTCTCTAGTCTAGGAGCAGCAAAGACAGGGTGGACATGTGTCTGGTCCTGAACAGCATGGCTGGCCCACTGAGCCTCGGCCATCTGCTTGCAGCCGGGGCTTCTTCCAGTGAAGTCCTTCCCACAGACGCCCACACACTGACTTCCGCTGGGCCCCTTGATGGTACAAACATGGTTGGGGGGGGAAGTGGTCACAGAGGCTGCGTCCTGTGACACACAGAGCCCTAGGTGGCCCTGTCCTCTCCCTGGGTCCAGGCCAGGTAGCCACTAAGCTGTGGCTCTAGGGGCCCTATCTAGCACAGCCAGAAGCTGCAGTCCCAGTGCTGCCCTCCTCTCCCTCAGGAAATGATCCCCAACTACAAGGGAGGCTGGGTGCAAGGCTGGGAGCAGGCCTAGTCCTGCTCTGGAGAAGCCAGGGGCCCTTGACTTATCGGTGGTGACTTTATAACTTGGGTGCTGGGGTGGGCAACACCTACAGCCCTGAGAGAGACTGCCCAAGCCCAGGTCCCAGCCAGGATACCACCCCTGTACCCCAGCTAACCAGTCACACCTTCACTTTCTAAAGCTTTATTTTACAAAATGTGTAGATGTTTTTTATTGGCATCATTTTTTGAAATTAAATTAACCTCCTCCTACCCACACCAGGAGGCAGGAGGAGGCTGGGTGGGGACAGGGTGGGTCAGCCTGGGCAGCTAACCAGTGGAAGCCACCTCTTCCTCGTCGCTGCCATCAGGGACCGCATCTGTCCCAAAGTAGCGATCCCCAAAGTTCCCTGGAGAAAGAAGCAGCCCAGTTTGGAGCCTCCTGGGGAGACCAGCCTTGCTCACACACACCACTGAATAGGCTGGCGGCTCACCTATGCCTGGGATGATGCGGAAAAGGTCATTGACCCGCTTGTCCACAGCTGTGGTGATGATTCTCACTCGTGGGAAAGCATAGGCCACGGAGTGGACACCCATCTCCGCCATCAGCAGTGACAGCAAGAAGATCTTGTCCTCGGGCACATCGTGGTCCTGCCAAGCCAAGGGCCAGGTAAATACCAACTGCACAGGGGCCTGCCTGCAGCCCATTCAGGACCCACGTACCAGGAGGACACGGACGGCCATCATGGCCGCAGCGCCAGTAGACACCGTACAGTCCATCAGGATCACGTGGTCGTCACTGATGTCCTTGGGCAGCCGAAGATAGTGGAGCTGTGGGAGGCCATGACGTCAGCAGTGCCTGCCCACCAGGCTCTGGGGTGCCACGTGGCCTTTCCCTGGGCTGGCCATCCTGTAACTCCCATGCCTCCCCAGTCCCGCACCTCGGGCTCCCCCGTGAGCTGGTTGGTCTGGATGAGGATGGTGCCAATGCGCACGTCTTTGCACACAGCACGCAGAGCAGGCTCCATGGTCTCCCCAGCACGCAGGATGGATACTCCAGTGATCTAGGGGAGGGAGGGCTGAGCCAATGGGACACCCAGCCCAGCTAAGGTATCGCCCTCCCAGGGTGCACATACCTGCTTTCCCGCATAGCACTTGCCTGCGTAGTCCTGCCCCTGTGGGGTCTGCACCACACAGTCCTGTACAGAGGGGGTGTGTCTGGACGTGGCCCTCACAGAGGCCCCACCCCCTCTCCCCCAACTGGATCCCTGCCTACCTGGAAGGGCAGGAAGGAAAGCGCATGCTCGATGAGCAGCCGCATCAGTCTCTTGGAGTAGAAGATGAACTCGTCCCGACTAGTCTCCCTGTCCCTGTCGGGTGGGGTGGGTGTGCTTAGGGGGGGCTTAGGGGGGTCCCACCCCACCTCTCTCCCACACTGCCCCTCCAGCCGGCCCTCACCTGATGATGGTGTGCATACCGCGCACTTGCGGGGTGCTCTTGAGGACGCTCAGCGTTTGGGGAAGTGGGTGGCACTGGTGCGCTGAGGCCAGGGCCGCCCTGGGGACACAAACAGATTGGGGGCACTCAAGAATGAAGGCATCTCATTCTAGAGCACCCTCTCCCCCAGGACGGCTGTGCGTCACCATGGGGCTAAGCAGTGGGGACAGCGGGGTGCGCAGGGTGAGAGCAGGCTGCCTGGCTGTGGCTGTAGGGGGAGACCTCCCACCCCAACTCTACAGGAGGTGCAGCTCCTGGAGGGGGAGCAGAGACACAGTGTCTGGTCTACGGAGGAAGAGCAGGGCCCGATGTGAGGCGCCCTCCTAGGCTTGGAGGGAACAGAAGGGCCGGCAGGACGGGGCTCACCTGCAGGTAGGGCTCAGCCCCCAGAACGGGCAGCTCCTGACCTCTGCCTGCAGTAATGACCGGGCTGAGGGGTCAAACCCTGCCCAGGCCCATCCCCATCCCCAAGTGTGGCCCAGTGCCGCTGCCTGCCCCACCTGAGGCCGTGCCTGGGGGGTGGGCATGAGAGAGGCAGAAGGGGGAGGAAAGGACGGGGGTACACGAGGGGCACTGGGAGAGGTGGGGCCGGCAGAACAGGAGAAGGGGTGCTGGTGGCAGGAAGTGGGAGGGAGGAGTGGGCGGGGCAGGGGAAGGTGACACTGGGGTGTGGGGGACCAAGGCAGGATAGAAGGGAGGAGTCTGGGGAGGAGGAAGGGATGGTGGGGCTCAGGGCGCGGGCCTGGAGGAGGCAGCTGGGGTGGGCGTGGTGAGGGTCCTGTGGGCAGGCGAGCAGACAGCGGGGCAGCACACAGCGAGCACAAGCCGAGCTCTCTGCTCACATATCCCAGCGCAGCTCCCTCTGCTCGCCAGTGAAGAGTGTTCAGGGAGGGACAAGGCAGGAAACGGTTACACAGAGGAAAGAAGAGAGAAGACCTCTTAGTTGGGAGGGCAGTGGCACCTCTGCAGATGGTACAGCACGGCCACCAGCTGGCCAGAGGGAAGAGGAGGCGCAGCAGGGCTGGGGCACCCACCCTCTGGGTGGGAGGGTGGGAGGGCCCTGTGGCTGGCCTGCAGTCCTTCCCCTGCCCACCAGCCGCTTCCTGGACAGGAGGAGACACTAGGGCCACTGGCCACCGCCTCCTTGGCAGACCAGAGAGCGGAAAGTGGAGCTGGCCACACCTGGAAACTTTTTTTCTCAGAATAAAGGCTCCTAGAGGGACCTGAGGGAAGGCCTGCAGCACCTGTCTGGGAGACCAAGCGGAGACTCATGCAGGGAAAGGAAGCGGCACAGGGTGGGCCCAGAGGCATTTCCAACGCTCTGACTGAGGCTCCCGAGGTGGCTCGGCCAGAGCTCCCCACCTCCAAAGAAAGCCTGGGAGGAGGGCAGGTCCCTCGTGGTGACACATCAGGGGCAGGTGCTGGCGTCTGCCTGCCCACTGGGTAGACAGGGTGGGGGACACAGCCTTAGCCCACCACAGGTGTGCTGCAGGGCAGCTATGGGGCAGAGCAGGGCCCAGGCAGGGAGGCAGGGAGGGCAGGGCTGAGCCCTCACACCACCCCAGCGAGAATCCCCTACGCCATGAGATTGGCCAGAGGAGGTACCGTAGCCCTGGAGGCAGACCCAGACCCCAGGCTGCTGGGAACACATCCATGGCCACATTCCTGGAGACCTGGCAGGGCTAGGTCACGAGAACAGCTGTGCTCTCTGGGGCTGAACCCCACAGACAACCCCACTTGCAGAGAATTCTCCACGATTTCTGTTCAGCCTAGGTGCTATGTGATCTTGGGCAAGTTACTTAACCTCTCTGTGTCTCAGTGTCCTTATCTGTCAGCAATGGGAAGCAGAAGCAGGGCTGGGGCTAATCCACTCCTCTGCATGGGGAGGGGCTGCCCACTGGCCTGGCTTGGTAACAGCCCAGACCTGGAGCGCCCTGTGGATGTTGGAAATGCCTCCATGTGTGCAGACAGCTATGGGGTCTTACCTGACGCTGAGTTCACGCTGTGGCAGCAACACAAGGAGACACAAGGGAACGGTGACGCGTCAGTGACCAGGGCAGGTGCCAGACCACCCCACCCAGGACAGGACATGCTGCAGCCCCACGGGGAGACTGCTCAGAAGCTGCCAGGTTTGGGAGGTGAGCTGCTAATGCTTCTAACCTGGGGAACACTTGGGTGAGACCTGTGGTTCAGGGCTGGGCAGTTTAAGCCAGGGGCCCTGGGCTCCGTCCTGCAGGCCACAGGCCTCTGACAGCCTGTGAGGGACCCAGCCATAGAATGCTCCAACAAGGGATTTCTGGTGAGGACATCACTCCCAGGGTTAGCTACCATGAAGGAGAAGAGCTCCTGGCCAGACATCGGACTCCTCAGTGCTGAAACCCTGTGGCCTTAGGCCAGCAAGACAGTGGGTCTCCTTGGCCATCCTGCAGGGTTGGGAGGGACAGGAGCCCTTCTATGCCAGGCCAACGTCCGGCTGGGAGCATGTGGCAGCTGGGCCCTGAGTTCCTGTGCCCATTCCCAGAACAAAGGGCTGGGGCTGGGGCTGGGGCTGTGTGAACAGGCAGATGAAGCAAGCTGGGGACACTCAAGTGGACATGGAGGGTGGGGCAAGCAGAAGCAGGGACACTACCTGAGACTTACCTCCTCCAGCTGGCTGTGCACATGCTGCACGATCAGGTCAATGGCCACCGCGTTCCCACTCCCTGCGGCAAAGGAGGGCGGCTCAGGCAGGCTCACGTGCCAGTGTCCTGGCAGGCCCACCTCTGGGCATCACAGTGCATGTGCCAGCATCCTGGCAGGCTCACCTCTGGGCACCACAATGTCTGCCAGGCGCATGGTGGGCTGGATGTATTGGTCAAAGGCAGGCTTGACAAACTTGTGGTACTGCTTGATGACACCCTCGATGTCCCGGCCTCGTTCACTGATGTCCCGGCGCAGCCGCCGCACTAAGCGGATGTCGGAGTCCGTGTCCACAAAGATTCTCATGTCCAGGAGCTAGACAGGGATGGCAAGCTGACTGAGGTCTGTGATCAGCAGGGTCACATGGCCCCACGGAGCAGCTCCTGCACAAGGCCTCCTAGTATGTGGGTCAGGTCCAGGGCCAGCCCCCATGGGCATCTCTTGAGCCTTGCGAGGAGTGTGGCAGGAGCAGGTGCTCAGGGAGTGTGTGAGAGTGGGCAGGAGCTGGGCTGGGCAGTATGACGTCTACATGATATGGGGGTGAGGGCCTGATGGGTTCTGGGTGTGCACCCTGAAGGAGCTCTGTGAGGGCTAGGGGTTGGTGGGAGCAACAGTGGGGTCCTCTGGGCCTGCACCAGTATCTGAGACCTGCAGCAAAGTCCCTCAGACTTCCTGCCTTAGGTCCTCACCTCCAGCAAGGAATGAGGAAGCCAATGCGCAGCTGAGGGTTGGCAGGTCGGGGAGGGAGCACTGTCCCCAGCAGCCACACCCACGCTAACCAGCGGGAGAGACAAACTGTACCATGTTGGGGGCACCCAAGCCTCTCCTTTCAGCAGGGGAGGCCTGGGGACAGGGCAGGGCTTGGCTGGAGGATGCATCTGCGGCCCAGGGGTGCCTCACCTCCAGCAGCGTCTTGTCAGCGAAGGCCATGATACCCTCGAAGATGATGACGTTTGCACCATAGAGCGTTTTCTGCAAAGGAACCAGGGAGTTTCAAGGCAGCTTCTGCCTCTGCAGCCCATCTGCAGTCCTGAGCCCCTACCTACCCAGTCCTTCTTCCGGCTGTGGGTGGTGAAGTCATAGATGGGCACTTGGACGCTCCTGCCCTGCTTCAGCTTCTTGAGGGTGGAGATGATGAGGTCGAAGTCGAAGGCGTCGGGGTGGTCAAAGTTGAAGTCGTTGTGGGCGGCCTGCTCCTGCTGCTGCTGGGTCAGCACCTGTCAAGGAGGCCGCAGAAGACCCCTGCCCACAGCCCCAGGGGACAGCATGCTGGGGCCCAGGGACCAAAGGCCTGCATGTGCAGGGGAGGGGAGAGAGGGAGAAGGGCACTCCAGGAGCTGAGCAGGGCCTCACCTTGTAGAAGGAGTCCATGGACAGCAAGACCACCCAGGGCACATCTAGAGCCTCAATGATCATCCTGGCCACGGTGGTCTTCCCCGAGGCACTGCCACCTCCCAGGCCTGCCAGGGGAGCCGAGAGCCGTGCTCAGGACATCTGGCTGACCCCACAGGTGGTCCCGAGGGGCTGCCCACACCACTCTTACCGATGGCAAAGGCCTCCTTGGACTGTGTGCCATGCTCATTGTACCAGGGTGGCCGCCCTGCCGTGTAGATGGTGCGCTTGCTGGTGCGCAGCAGGGGTGGCTCCGACTTGCACTGGCTGGTGGTGCGCTTCCGGGGCGAGCGCCTGGTGCCCACGGTGGGGAGAAGCCTGTCCAGGGACCCTGCATGGCTGCTATAAAGACAATGTGGTTTAGCCTTGACCTGGGGCCGCTGGTCTCCTTGGTGCCTGGTCACACCCAAGGGGGCTCCGGTAGGCGCAACCCAGGTCAAGCCTGGACTGGGTACTGTCCAAGAAGCCCACCTACAGTGGGCCACAGAGCTCATAGGGGCATGGGACCTTGGTTCACACAACAAGAACAGAGGGATGTTGCAGTGATGAGGAGAGAGGAGAGTGCCCATCTCAGGCTGTGCTCCTCCCCTGTGTGGACTGGGCCAGGCAGGGCCCTTCCTCAGGTGATGCAAGGTAGGCACTTGTGGACAAGCAAGAACCCCCTGAGGACCATGCCCCCCTCCCCAGCCCAGTGCTCTCTCTGGGCAGCCCAGTCACTGTCTCCTTGCAGAGGAGGGTAGAGCCTGGGCAGAGGTAAGGACAGACACAGGGCTCTGGGCAGAGTGGCACCCTGGCCTGGCCTCTCTGACTGTCAGGGTGCAGGATGGACAACGAGAGGGGAGATCCCAGCTAGGAGGCCTAGGGAACCAACTTGTTCTGTGATCCCTCCTGGGTCCTTAAGACAGAAACTTCCAGAATCCAGCAAAGGCTACCTACGTGGGCTTACCCCATGAGCCATCTGTGTAAAACAGGAGGCCCACAGAGACTACCAGGTGGAAATCTAACCCGAAAAAGGCTCAGACCTGTGCTTGTGTCCACACCACATCACGCATGCCAGGCCAGCTCTCAGATCCCTGCCACCTGCACAGTTGGCCTGTATCCCAAAAGGGGTGCAGTTTCTGGCTGTGGCCTCAACCCTGAGACCTCTTCTGTGGAGGCTCCCTGTGAATGCATGGCCTGTGACACTGCTCAGTTTGTCCTGAGAAGCAGAGCCTGGTGTGAAGATGCTGGGCGTGGGGGACATGACACAGGCTGTGAAGGCCCTCCTGGCCACTGCCTGAATGGGGAGACCAAGTGGTCAGAGTGGCCCTAGCACCGTCTCTCAGGCTGTCCAAGAGGGGTTAGTGGCTTGGCCTAGCATGTCACAGCCCACCCACGTGAGGAGCCTGTGAGCAAAAGGCTTACATGTCAGACGTGCCAATTTCAACCAGGATCCATCTGGGGACCAAAATCTGGAACAGGGACTTCTGCGTGTTCTTCTTGAATGTTTCATAAGCACATGTGCCATGCTTTCAAAATCCAAACCATGAGCAGGACACAGTGGCACAGGCCTGTCATTCCAGTGGTCCAGGAGGTCAAGGCAAGGGGATTGTGAGGTCCCGGCCTGCCTGGGCAACTTAGTGAGACCCCAAACAGAAAGGGCTAGGGCACACCTCAGTGGTAGTGCACCTCTCAGAGCACCAGCAATGACCCAAGCCAGGCAGGGGCCTTGGCGTGCACAGGCGTGGAGGCCATGGAAGAAAGGAGCCAAAGCCTAATCCCTAACAGGTCCTATGGCAGCTCTAGCAGCAGGAAAGCTTCCTATCTGTGTTTGACAAGGAGAGCGCTGTGCTTGTCCTTGGGGACAGACAGGGCCACCTGTTTCTACACCACCATTGTCAGGAGAGCTCAGGAGTGAGCCCAGGGAATAATTAGCCAGGCAGAGGCGCTCAGCCTCGCTCCTGCAGCTCTGGAGACAGCTCTGAGGCTTAGCACAAACAATACAACCAGGTACCGCAGAGACTGGGTGAGAGGTCCTAGGGACAGTGCTGCTCTACCATGCCCTGGCATGGGAGCAGGTGCCCACAGCATTGCTGTGGGACACATGTGGGGGGCACAGCCTAGGACATGACGTGCCCTGGGGCTGCTGTCTGCACCCCCAGTCAGGCTTGCCAAATAGCTCTTGGCTTAAAGGAAGACAGGACTTGTAGTGACATCCTAAGGTCCCTGGACAGAGGGCAGACAGCTGTTTGCTCACCTGGGCACACTAATCCACCAACAGTAAACAAATAGGTTTGTGATGCTCACCCCTGGGGCTGCCCACATCACACTCCAAAGGAATCGCCCTGTGCCTTCAACCTCCACTGAAACTCTTTAACAGAAAATGCAATTTGTGAGAGAGTAGGGCCTCGTGCAGGAATCTCCCAGGGCTGCCCCACAGCCATGCCCTGGATTCCAGCGGCAAGCACGCCCATTCACAAAGCCAGGACCAACTCCCATAGATACTGAGCAGAGGCAGCCAGCGCTTGAGGCCTTCCTGGAGACCTTTTGGTCCTCCTATCAGTGACTTCCTCACCCCACTGAAGTGACCACCACCACCACCACAAATCCTTTCCAAGGCTATCACTGCTGAGCCTGTTGCAGACCCTTCTGTTGGGCAGAGTGCCTAGTTGCAAGGAGGCCAGGGGGGACTTTGCCAGAAATGCACCTTGCCTCACTGGAGACAAAGGCCACAAGGCTATCTGCACCAAGCCTCGGCCCTCCCAGAGCTAATCTCTGTCCCAGAGCCAGCGGCAAAAATTCACCCATTTCTCAAAACGTGTAACCCTGAAAAGAGAAATTTGCACAAAACACCTCATTTCCTATCCACAGATGGATAAGGGTACTTCTGGCCACAACGAGGAAAATTATTCTCAACCCAAAGGACTGAGCCATGACCCAGAGGAGACACACACAACCCACAGCCCCAAGTGAAACTCCCTGTGGCCTGAGCCTGGCCCAGCTCCCCAGAGTGCCTGCCAGCCTGCCTGCTGCCTGCTACTCAGAGATGCACTGCACAGGAGTCTGGAGTGATCAGCACCACCGTGAAGCTGGGTACTCCTCACCAGCAGGGATTCCTCTGCAACTCACCTGCCTTCTGCCCAGCACCCTGAGATCCTGATGCCAGGGTAAGCTGGGGGACTGCTCATGGTCGACCAGGTCCCAGAGGGTGTGCTCTCGGTGTGTATATGGCTTAGGCGCTGGCAGTTAGGGAGGCATCACCACCTCAGCACCACAGCGGTGCCCAGCACAGCTCTGGCTCTCTGGCCACCTGCACTGGCCCTCTGTGAGTAGAACCACTCCTGTGAGCAGCACAGCAGATAAAGACCTGGGTGGGGCTGGGCCCCTGGCTGGCAGTGGGGCTGCTGTATGCAGGGAGAGGTGCACAGCACTGGGGGCCCAGGAGCCCCTCTGTACTGAGGGAACACACTTGCCACTGGCCTCTGAGGCCAAGGCCACAGTCATAAGAGGATCACCCAGCTAGGGATCCTGTGCCAGATATTAATAGCACAGCTTTGCCTAGTGTGGCCTGCCAGATCCAGGCCAGCTGTGGGTGTGAGCTGCCCTTCTGAGCACAGGCTGGCCCACTCACCAGCCGAGGCTTGCTGAGAATCACTATGCTCCAGTACCCTGGCCCCACCCCCATACACAACAGAACAGGGAGACTTGAGACCCCTCCTGGCCGGCTGAGCTCAGCACCCCACCCTTGGCACCAAGGTGCCTCCTATGAGCATGAACAGATAGGAAACCCTACCCTCTAGCCGGATCTAAGAATAACAGCCCCGCCCCCACCTCACAGAGGTCCAGAAAGTCCCTGGGCCACTCGAGGCTCATCAGGGGACATAGCCACCTCCTGTCCACAGCAGCAAGAGAAGAGGCAGGCCTGGCCCCACCCTCAGCAAGCATGGACAGTAGAAGTCTCTTACTGGCTTAAGGGGTCTGTTCAGAGAGGTTCTGCTGCCCAGCTCTCCAGGTGGGAGGTTACATGTGCCAATCCCTCCTGGCCACCCAGATAACCCACCCCTCCAGAGGCAACTGGAGAAGGAACAGCCATCCGCTGTGTCCTCAGAGCTTGCCCCTTCTAATGATGCTCCCAGGTGGCAGGCTGTCTGCACCAGGCCTCACTCAGGGAGCCTCAGCTGTCTTGGGCAATGAAGAGTGGGACTCCTGGGGATCATTACCTCGCTTGGATGTCTAAGCAACAGAGGGGACCCAGGCTGGTCAGCCTGGATGTTCCTGGGTGCCTTAGCTGAGCAAGACCCATGGGCTGGGTAAGAAGCCAGGCGACAAACTCATGGGAAGCTGGTACTGTTGACCTAGGAAAGGGAGGCCAGAGCCTAGATGTGCTGCTATTGACAGAATAGGCAGCCTTCATTCTGGCTCACCAACCTCGACTCCCAGCAGCCTCTGCCTTTGCTCCAGCTTAGGGTGCTGGAACCCCACTCCCAAACTGTCTCCCCAGGGCTAGAATGGACCAGAGAACACCCATTCCTAGCACCACCAACAGGGGCACTGATGCTGTTGATCAGTAGCCACATTTGGAGCCCAGTTGGCCAAGTACCTTTTTGCCCAGTTTCCTCCTGTTTCCAGTGTCAGGGCCGTCTGAAGCAGGGGGTGCTGAAGGGCGTCCAGTCACCTCAGAGCACCCCTCATTTCTCTGGGAGAGGGTCCACTTTGGGTCACGGCATAGTGGGGCATGGCTCACACCCCTTCACCCCCCACCAGGAAGGGGCAGGCCTCAGTGATCTCCTCCAGGATGGCAGCAGTTATGCTCTGGGATTCCTGAGACCAAAGCAGGTAGCTCATCCACAATAACGACCCCACAAGTGATGGCACATGGAAATAAACAGACATGTGCAGAGACTACAGAGCAAGACTGCACCATACTGAGCATCCCCAGCCAACATCCAAAGCCGGAGTGGTGGGCTAATGCCTGTAATCCCAGCTATTCAGGGGGCTGAGGCAGAGGATGGATCACAAGTTTCTCCTGGGACAGTGTGGGCATTTGAGAATCTGTCTCAAAAAAATAAGAAGGTCTGGTGATACAGTTCATTCCCCAGTACACAGCAGGAATGAGGGGCAGCTGGAAGCAGTCAGGAGGATCTACCCCTCAGGGTCTGGGGCGGGTGGGAGGACCGAGGCTTACATCTCCTACCCTGAAACCCTTTCCAGCAGACCCTGCTTTCTTGCAGTTCTAAGCAGATGCAATCAGCATCCCTCCACTGCCCACAACCAACTGGTATCCATCACTCAGGTAGCCCCTAAGGACAGTCCCTGCACCAGCACGACAGCAGGCACTGAAGACAGAGAGGAGGGGTTAAATAGACACAGGGACCAGCGCAGGGACAGTGGGGAAACGTACTGGGAGAGCAGAAGGAAAAGTCCCTGGCTGGACAGGAAATGCACAGGTCAGCCTGAGACCCCCACTGCTATGGCCCTGTGCCCATGGTGACCCGCACGAGGACAGTGTCTGTGTTGAGACATCACGAGGGCCTGGTGCCCAGAACAGTCTGTGTGGTCTTGGAGCCTATCTGGCTATGCATGGCCTTTCTGCTCCTGGTTACCCAGTGACCTCTGAATCAGTGAGCGTCACAGACTCAAGTCCTGATGGACCGAAGCCAAGCAAGCTCCCGGTCACTGCCCGCTGGGATGGTGTGGGCCTACGACCGGCTGCTCTGAAAGGGCTCTGCTCGTTCGCCAGAGCCCGAGCCAACACTCTGGCTCCAGGTACTCCACGCTCCTACTCGCCCCCACCCTGAGGGGAAAGCGTTCTGGGACTCCGAGGGACGCGATCAGACCCGGAAGAGGCGAGGCGCGCAGTCGCGCGCGTGACCACCGCCCCCTGGCGGCCACGACCCCGAGGCGCTGCGGGGGCGATCAGCCGGATGCTGACGGGCTCCCCCGCAGCCCACCGCCCCCTTTAATGCTCCCGGACCCCTCGAAGGCCCCACACATGCCCGGCGGTCGGAATGCACCACCGCACCTCACCCTCAGAATCAGTCCGAGGGCCACTGGGCGGCAGGGCCGGCCGGAGCCCGAACCCGAACGTGACTAACTCGGAAGGTCGCGCGGGCACACGGCCCCGGAGCGCCGCGAACCCAGGCCTCGCGGGGTGCAAACCAAGGCCCATCTCCCGCGACCCTCCTGTCCTCCGTCCGCTCCTGCCCCTGAGGCCGCCAGCAGACCACCCGGCCGCTCCTCCAGGGAAGGAGGTGCCGACAGGCCGTCGGGGGCGTGGAGGGCATGCGCCCACTCAGCGGACCTGAGCCCGAGGTGGGGCCTCGACGATGCCGCGGAGGGGGGGGGGGGCTGCAGCGTGCCATCGCCCCTTCGCCGGCGCGCGCGGCCCCCGCCCGGCCCTGCGCCTACCGGTCCTCGCACGCGGTCTCGCTCTGTCCTCCCGCGCAGGCTCCGGGCGCGTCCGGGGCCGCAGGAGGCGGCGGGGACGAGGGGGCGGCGTCCGCGGAGGCCGGTGGCGCAGCCATGGCGCCCGGAGACTTGGCGGTGGCCGGCAGCGCGTGCCCCGGAGCCAGTGAGGGCGGACTACGAGCCCCACAAGGCCGCGCGTCTCTGGGCGCGCGCGCACGGGAGAGGACCGCGTCTCGGCACAAACTCATCCACACAAAAGCCCTGGAAAAAAATCAATAAACATTTATTTGATACAGTCATTTTTAATACATACAGTTGATGGCGCGTCCCCGCGCCACTCGCCAGGGGACGGGGCAGGGACGAGGTTGGGGACAGATGGTCACAAGGCGGGCAGGGCCCGAGCTCACCGTCAAAACATCTTGCAAATAAACATTTTGTAGATAGAATATATATATGTATATATATGGTTACAAGTGATAGCTGGAACCTGTCTTTCGAAATGCACTTGTGTGCTGAGAACCTCATTAAAAACCAAACCAAGAAACCCGAAGTTTAGGACGCATGGCCACCAGGCAGAAGGGTGACCCACGGCCCTCCTGAACCCTAGACTTCCAGGGCAAGCTAGTAGAGTCTAGCCGGCAGGGGCTTACAAGGAAAGCCCTCCCCTTCCAGGGCCTCCCTCAGAACCACCAGAGGGACAGAAAGGCTCCAGCCACTCAGGATGCACCCCCGTCTGCCTGCAAAGAATTGAGTAAAGTGCATCCTATTTCTGTGGGAAGTGTCAGCTCCTGGGGCATCTTCCTGTTCTCAGGAAAGGGCGTGCACTGAACCAGAGGTAGATCTGCAGAGACCCTAACTCACATTTTGCCAAGGACCCAGGGCTTGGTCCACCAAGCTCCATGTTTACCACACCCTGGGGTCTGCCATTCTGATTCCTCCCACTGAGGCTGCTGTGGAGGCCAGTGGTCACTTTGTCATGTGTGAGCCAGAGCGGGAAGTGGGCAGACCCTGATGCACCCGGCCCAGGGCCCTACACCCTTTGGAGGAAGGCTTTGCAGACCAGCTTGCCACTGCCCCTCTCTAGTTAGTGTGGGTGGATGAGAGGGAAGGAAAGGAGGGAGGGAGGGCAGGCTCCCAACCAGTAGCTACTCCAGCAGCAACCCCCTTGTTCATTTCAAGACACAGGGGTTAAAGTGCTAAACATTGTCACCCAGGCCCACTTCTACACCAGGGCCACCTGTGGACTTCAGGGGTGTCCTGGAAACTCAACCCCCCCCAAAAAAAAGAGCCTGGCCTCCTTCCCCCCAAGTGCCAAATACCTGAGAGGCTGGGCAGGAGGCCACACCCTGTTGGAGCCCAACCTCCTCCACCATGGAAACAGGGCCAAGCGCACTTGGCCCTCCATGGGTGCACTCAGGTGCCCTGGAAAGCACACTGCCCGAGTCCCAGATTCTCCTCTGATCCTTGCCCACACTCATCTCCACCTAGGCCACCATCCTCAGACCAGGTCCAGGTGTGTGAGGCTGGGGGAGTCTGTTCTCTCCACCCCTCCCAACACATCAGGCCAGGCCTGCCCAGTTTTCCCATCCCCAAAGCCCCATGGAACTGGTCTCTCTACTGCAGGGTAGGACAACCCAGCTGGAAACCCTCCTCCCTGTCCCCTGAGCAGCAGAGGAGCCACAGCACAGCCCTGGGCCAACCCAGCCCCACCTTCGGCACCAGGAAACCCTTAGCACCAAAATGTCAGATTGTTGTGAATTTTTGTATAAAAAACAGAATTTAAAAAAAGGTTGTTACTTGTCACAGCAACAAGACTGGCATCCACTACACCCAGGAGACACGCACACAGGCAAATATCAAAATTCACATCGTCCAGGATCAGCGAGGGTATGCCCTCAGCCCTCCCTGCCCCCACTGGTAAACAGCCTCCATCCATATGTCTCTGAGCATCTTCCTCCCTACACAGAGGCTGCAAGTGGGGCTCCCCCCTCCAGGTGCCCTAGGACTCCTGACTGACCCCTGCCCTACCTGCAGATCCTGCCATCTTCAGATTCCTCACAGCCCTAGAGCTGCCACCTAGTCCAAGCCCCCCTCTCCCACTGGCCTTTGGTTCCTGTATCCAATGCCACCAGATGTACAGGAGCAGGTAAAGGGGAGGAGGGTTTCTACAGGAGCTCTGCCTCTGGGCTGACCCCACCTGGCAGAGGATATTCTCCATGGGGCTCACCTTCGGAGCTGGGCCCTTTCCACCTGGCCCTGAACCCAGAAGCCCCTAGCCCCCTCAGGCTGTGACCTTGGCTTGAAGTGACAGAGGCTGGAGGCAGGAAGCAGAGCACACAAGCCTCTGGTCCTCCACATGTCTGGGCAGAGCAGACAGGAAGCTGTCCCTCCAACTTGAGGACAAGGACCAGTGGTTTGGGGCCTGAAATGCAGCAGGAATGACAGACAGAGGATGGGGCCAGGCCCAGAGAGGTAGAAAACAGAAGCAGAGGAACTGGAGGGTGGATGAGGGTGGGCAGGTGGCTGTCAGGTCAGCATGGCAGTGGCTGGACAGGGTCTGTCCTGGGAGGTAGCTGGGGTACTGGAGTTCCAGTGTTGGGTGGAGGCAAGGCCCAGGTGGTGGCAGCCAGGGATGCCCAGGTGCTCTCGTTGGCCCACAGCCACAGATCACCAGGAATGCCCCAGTCATGGGAGCCAGGGTGGGGACCCAGCTGGATCTGAGGAAGCAGAGACAGGGGCCAAAGAACATCTGACTGCTGTGCACTGCAGCCCCTTGGTGCCAAAGCCCCAGATGCTGCCAGGCCCCTGAGCGTCCTCACAGGGAGGCTGCCCCACCCTTTGTACTTCTGCTGCTGCCCCTGGCACCCCTTGTGGAGCTCCACCCAGGTGTGCCCTGAACAAGGGAAGGGCCACCTTCGGGGAGGAGAGAATGGCTCACCACCTCCACTGGACAGATGGATGGGGGTGAGGATGGAGGACAGGAGGTCCAGAGTGGCTCCCCCACGCTGAACAGAGTGGGGCTTGGCAGCCAGTGTGGGGTTCACTTTTAGGGTGCCTTGCTGGCTCCCACCTTCCGCCCAGTGGAGCCCCGAGACCCCTTGTCCCTGCCTCCCAAGGGCCAGTCGTCCCGGCGGTGGAGGAGCTTGGGCATGGGCTCCTCAGGAGGCCGCTCCTTAGGCTTGCGGCCCCGTTTCTTTCCTCCCGCCAGACTTCGTTTCTCTTTCCTGGATATCAAGGGACCCTGGCTCCTGTGTTTGGGAGGTGGATCTGCTGAGGTCCGGAACCAGTTCTGGGGAGAGAAAAGCCCCAACGAAGACCTGGGACCCTGCCCACACTGTAGACCCAGTCACCCTCAGGCCAGGTAGGCAGCTGCAGTGAGGGCTGAGGGCAGGGTTCCCACCCACAAGCAGCTCCTGCTCAGGCTGCCCGGTAGGACCCAGCTTCTCAGCTTTTCTGGGGGAGTTGGATACCCCTATGAGGAGAAACTGCCAGACTTCTCAATGCTGGCCACTTGCTTAAATAGACACTCCTAGGCCATCCCGTTTCCACCACCCAGCTCTGGCCCTACCCTTCCTGGGCCTCCCCCAGCTCTGGCCCAGTGGTTGCTCCCGCACCTCTGCATGGGTCTTGAGGATATGGTACTTGACGCCACTTTCAGAGCTGAACTCTTTGGGACACAGCAGACAGCGGTACTTCCCTACCAGGTGGTCCCCCTGTAAAGCAAGGCAGTGCAGTCCCTGGCTCTTAAGGGCCCAAAGCCCACACCTGGCTCAAGCCCTTATCTCACCACTAAAGGGGCAGGGACAGCTGGCGAATCTGCAGCTGTTTCAGGAACCTGTAAGGGTACCCTGCAGCAGGACCATTAACTGGCTCCTGCTACCGGGGAGTTGAGGATGGGAAGAGCAGGTGTCTTGGGGAAGGGTCACAAACCTTTGCTGAGGGTCCTTTCCCAAGATAGTGTGCCCAGGTCAGGTTGACCTCCCACACATACCCACATAGACAAGGAGCTGAGGACAAGGCTGGGGACTGACCGTCCTATGGCTGGGGTAGAGGCAGGGAGGGGTTCTGAGCCAACTGTCTATATCAGCCTGTCTCTGGGCTCATGCAATGGGAGCAGGGGAGGTTCTCACACTAATGTGGAGGGACCCCTGGCAGGAGAAAGGTGGGAATGCTGAGCCCCCTCTGGGCCACAGGGAGCCCCCAGGACTGACCTTGCTGCAGCTGGCCAGATGGGCCTTGAGACCAGACACACTGGAGTAGATGGCTTCACAGCACTGCAGTGGGAGACAGCCATGGGGGGGAGGCCGGTGGGGAGTCTCCCACACAAAGGTGCACCTGCCTCAGCCTCAGGGAGCTCGGAGCCTCTCTCTGGGGCATGTGGAAGGACCTGACTCCAAGAGTCCTGGGGTTTAGGCTGGGCATGTAGGGCCTGAGGCCCCTCTGCTAATGGGGTCTTAAGTGAGAATCCTGTGGGAGCTCAGAATCAGAAGCAAGGCTGGTCATTTTGAGGGCTGCCTCCTAAAAGATCTCGGTCTCAGCCTCTGCCACTCCCTGAAGGCCACACCTGCCCTGTCTTGGACCTCCCATGCCCACCCACTCAGCCCGCCCCGCTCACATCGTTAGGGCAGTTTACGTGGCCATTTGCTTTGACTTCATTCTTCCATGCCTCCAGTAGCTGGGGGTTGAGTGTGGGGAGGCCTGGCCGCGTGTAGTTGAGCTGTAAAGCCAGGTACAGTGCAGGTGAGTCCAGGCCCAGAGGCACCCGGGCTCTGAGACTGTATGTATGCCTCAGCAGCAACTCAATGTCCCTTCCAGAGTTGGGATCAGTAGACAGGGGCATGGCTGTCACCAGGGACTCTGGATTGAGGCATGTCCTGCCCAGAGACAAGGAGGCCAGGGGCTTGGG